AGAGAAAGTGTCCCCATGAGGGATGGCCAGACCACAATCCCCTCCTCCAACTTTCTCTTCAGGATTCTAGGCATGCATGCACACCTGCCCTGCTGGGTCCAGGATCCGAACCACACAGCCAGCCATGCAGGATGCAGCCATCTCAACCCCCACGCCACCAGCTGGCCTTGTCCATTTAATTTTATTAGAAAATACCAAACATTTCTCCACTATGGCTACACCATCTTACAGTCCTTACCAGCAGTGTATGGCAATCCAGTTGTTCCACATTCTCGCCATCGCTTTGCATCTTCAGTCCTTACAATGCTAGCCCCTCGGGCGGCTGTATACTGGTGCCTCATTACAACTTTCATTTGCATTAATCTGTGGACGGATGGTGCTGAGTGCTTTCTCATGTGCTTATTGATTATTCGGACAACTTTGTTTATAAAGTGCACACTCAAGAATTTTGCCCATTTTTCAATTGGGTTGTTCATCATTTTATTGATTTATAGTATTACTTATATATTGGGTTGTTGGAAAATTCATGACATATTTTCGTTTTTATAAAAAATGCATCATGACTTTTCTGACAAACCAATATAATGGATACAAGTCTTCTAGTCTTCTATCCGACATGTGTTGTGAATATTTTCGAATTACGGCTTGCCTTTCACTTTAATATGGGCCACATTCTTTTTAATGGATGCATATTTTCCCATTATAGTGGTGCTTTCTTTTTTTTTTAAGAATTATTTTTATTTAACTTTATTTATTTTGACCAGAGAGGGACAGAGAGAGAAAGAGAGAGAGAGAAAGAGAAAGCCACCAGGTCCCAGACTCAAACCACCGTTGGCCATGTGGGAATCCAGCCCCCTCAACCACTGCGCCACCTGCTACCCCCCAGTGGCAGTTTCTTAATCAACATTACCCGTTCTTTATTAAAACATATTTAGGGGACCAGCAGTTAGCGTAATGGCTATGTCGCTGGACTCCCACATAGTCGACCGCAGTTCGAGTCTCAGACCTGGTGGCTTAAACTCACGCCGGGCGCGTGTGTGTGCGTGCCCAGGATCCCGGGAGGAGAATGGAGGAGAAAGGATTGCGGAGTGGCCATCCCCCCTAGGGGGTGATTTCCTGCTTTCTCTCTCTCCGTTTCTCTGTCTGTCTGGCGAGCGCACACGCCCTATAGCAAAAACCTCTCCAAAAAAAGAAAAAAAAAAAAACAGTAAAGCATAAAATGATATTATGCTTTAATAACGCTTGTATTTTACCCAAGAAAGTGCAAAGGACTTTCAGTAGCCTTATAATTATATTCACCATGGTAAGCTATTGTTATGGGGCTAAACTATTCTGCTTTGCTTATCAAGGAAGAAAGCAAAAATCCTAGCTGTGCCACATTTATGACACTAGCTGAAAAATACATGCTATCATTAACATATTTTTTTAAATGCTGCAGATAACATCGGTAAAGTTCTGTAGAATGCACTCTAAAAACAAACAAAAAAAACAAACAAACCAACCCTGAGTCTGTTCAATGGCACAGAGGTAAGGCACTGCTTAACAACAGCAGATCTATATAGAAGATCACAGGTTTGCTTTTCAGTCTACCTTCACATGCAAGGCATATGCACCATGATCCTGAATGGCTGAAAAGGCAGTGGGAGGACATGACAGATCATGGCATGAAATCTGTTGTTGTCTCTCTCTCTCTCTCATGAAAGAAAGAAGGGCTGGCAGGTGGTGTGGTGGTAAGGGCGCTGGATTCCCACATAGCTGATTGTAGTTCAAGTCCCGGACCTGGCAGCTTGCTTTCTCGCTTTCCTTTCTCTCTTTCTCTGTCTCTCTCTGGTCAAATTAAATAAAAATAATAATAGTAACTAATGGAAATAAATAATTTTTTAAAAAAGAAAGAAACTTAAAAATAAAAACACAACCTAAGCATCTGCGTTAAGAACACTTTCAATGTTTATTGTTTTTATATGGAAAATACAACAAAATAGTAACAATACATTTACTTATCAAAAACAAGTCTTATGAGCAGGCATTTAAAATCTTGACACTGGGGTAATACAATTACAGAATTTACCTCTGAAATTCTAAATACAGAAAAGGTCCAATTTAGTTTAAAATAAAATAGGTTTATGAGACTCATTTTGCTTAATCGAATGTAATTTTAAAGAAATTATGTATTACTATAATTCAAACTATGTGAAATGTTTTAAAACACATGGGTAAAAAAATATATAAAAGGTCTCCTAAATTGTCATCCAACACACGTGGCTATTTAATTTTAAATTTTAATTAACTAAAATGAGATAAATTTAAAATTTAGTTCCCCTATCTAATTAGCCACATCTTAAGTGCTCAATAGCCCTGTGGCGTCTAGACATTACCACACTGGACAAAATTTATTTTCATTTTTTGAATGCTTTACTTCAGCGACATCACTGTGGGAAGTTCTATTGGTTAGGGGTACTCTATCGTATATAAGCAACCACTATATAACAAAGTCAACCATGTCAGCTAAGTCTTGAGAAAGTTCCATCCGTATAAAGTGTTGTTCTGTGGTTTGCTTCTAGTTCAGGGACTATTTCAGATATCAGAAAATATAAGTAAAATTTGAGATCTGTATATACCATTTGAAATTTAATCTTGCCTGGGATATAATTTTACTATTCTTTTTAATCAACAATACTGAAATGTATTTATGGGGTACAATGTGACATTTTGATACATGTTTACAATGTGGACTACTTTTTGATATCTCTGTTATCAGTTTTTTTAAATTACTTGTGAAACCAAATGGTGCAGCCAAAGACGATCTTAGATGGATTTAATCTGAGTTAACTCTGGTCAAAATCCTTTCGTCCTCTATGGAAGAGTTTTTTATGCAAGATTTTTTGAATTACCTACTTTTTTAAGACCTTTGCAGGCATAGCTTAAGCTCATAAAGATGTATGTAGAAATGCCATGGTTTTATTTAGCTACAAGATAACTAAGTTGGCAAATTACCTAGAGAATAGTCTTACAATTTACACTTCTATATCTTATCTTTCTAAAAACTGTATTTCACTAAAATATTCTAAAAATTTAGCCTAATTTTCAAAATATGTATCATATGAAAATTTGTATCTTGTTCTACAAATTGGTCACAGAAAAACATAAACTAGCTCACAAGTCACAAAAGCAACTTGTCCATTTTTATACTCATTGTTATTTGACTGAATAACAAGAAATTCCTTTCTACTGAATTTCTTTCTCTACCACATCAAAAACCTGAAGCTAATTAACATCAGGTATCAAAAACAAAGTCATGGGTCACAAGTAAATGTTCATAATTAAAGGACAAACTTAAAAAGAAAAAAAAATTGCTTTTGAATAGTAACTCTAAGAGTGCTTTATAATGAATGTAACTGCTAATTGCTCCATGGGTTAAAAGCTTAAAGATGGCATTAAAACTGACAAAATGTTTCTTAAACAGAAATTATCAGATAATGAAATTATATGGTATTAGCCTATGGTTCAAACTCTGAAAAACTTTCTTTAAAGTAAGTGCTTTAGTTAATAATAAAGTTCTAGGGCCAGCCACAGTGGCATTAAGTGGTAGAGTGTAAGCTGTAGGGCACAAGGCTGGGGCACGTGGGACACCCAGGTTTGGAGCCCAGACCAAGTTGAAAAGGCCGGGTGTGGTATCGTACACTTGTAACCCTTAGCTAACTGGCTGGGCCAGAGGATCACGATGTAGCAAGACCCTGTCAAAAATATCTGTGTCTCTCTTTCAACTGAAAAAAAAAAAAAAAAGAACAGAAAAGAAACAAACAACTCTCTCCTATGGTTCTCAAACATCCTTTGCATAAGCAAATTAGAATTATTTTTTAATTATTCAATAATCCTACCAATATCCTTTAAGACTACTTTTTTCTAAAAATTTCTGGTCAAATTGTGTTCATTTAAACATGTTAAGAGTCATTTCTGTTTGCATTTCAACTAGTAGAATCTATAAGAAAACACACAGCCAACACACTAAAACCTTCACTTGGACATTTCAGAAACCAAAAACAAGGTTGGTATCTCAATTTGGCCAGATTCTTATTATTTATAGTGACATATTCTTTCATTTGAACTACTTAAATGGAATGAAAGAATCTCTCAATATCGTTTTCTTTCTGTGTTCACCCTAAACAAACTACTGGGATAAAATGTTATCAGGAGGTAATTAAAAGAATACTGTTCATATCAGGAGTAAATCAGAACCCAGGGCTCTGGAAAGCTATGGTGGGCCATGCTGATGGCAATCCTATGGTTCTCGTGGATGTGATGTATAAGAAAGCCACCATGGGTGTTGCGGTTGTATGTAAACCATACCTCCCTTCTTCATCAACAGTTAGAGCTAAGCTCTAAAGTTACAATCACTTGACAAATATCGAGTGTCTACTACATTCAAGTTCTATGCTCGGCATTGCGCTATGCCTCGTCAACTACAGCTACCTGACTAACTACATTTGCTCACTGGCACCCAGAGTCATCTGTCACTAAGTGCCAAGGGTACTATTCTCACTCTACATTCAAACAATGAACACAACAGATAGGAGTTTAGTACTATTCCCTCAGTCAGAGGTTCTTTTCAACATACTGCCCTGCACTGGGCTCCAGAGATGAAACATTACATCTCTTCCTAATGCAAGTCTGCCTCCCTGACAGGCAGAAAGAAAGAGCTTTGACTATTTCTTCAGGTGTGAATGCAAAACTACTCTGGTACTACAGCAGGTGAATTTGGAATTAGAGCCTGAGAAACTTACAGAAGCATGTACCAGTAATGAAAAAAAAAAAAAAGCCTAGAAACACACACAGTGGGAGGGCTGACACTGAGGTACTTCAGACAGCCGCATCGGGACCTCTCGGCTCTTCAGTTTCCTCATTATCGGTTATCTCCACAGCCTCGGTATCTGTGCTCTCCTCGGTCTCGTCGGTATCCACTGCATCGGGATCTGCTGGCTCCTCGGCCGCGGTGATATTCCCTGGCTCCTCCGCCACATCTGCTGGATCCTCAGCCTCGTCGCTATCTGCCGGCTCCTCGGACTCATCACTATCTGCTGCCTCTTCGGACTCATCAGAATCTCTTGACTCGGTTAAAGGGGCTGCTTCTGCACGCAGCTGTAATTTGGACCTCTTGAACTCAAATCTAAGGCTACGGATACAGCTGTTGATACCTCTCACAGACAACTTCCAGTCATATCCAGCTTCTGAGAGATCGCTAGTCGGGTAGGCACCTTGGAGAAACTCTGATGGCAAAGTTCCAAAACACAACAGTTACTTAAAAGTCACTTCACCGGGAAATGCATTTACTCAACCTTGGGGTGCTAGCTTAAACTCTTTCCTAACCATTTGGCTAAAACACACTTCATTTATGCAACACCTATTAACATCCATCTGACTCTGAGAAACAGTAGGGGAATTCTGACCTACACTAACAGGATAAAATGCAGGAGATAAATATTTTATATTTACACTTTTTCCCTATATTTACAGTAAAAAATACTAACAATATGAATAACAGCTTAAATACTAACAATAGAAATACTGGATAAACAACAATACAGCCGTCCCTTAGTATGTACTGGGGATTAGGACCCCCCCCCTTTTGGATTAGGATACCAAAAGCTGAGGAGTCCCTTACGTAAAATGCATCTAACTTAGTACTTCTTCCCGAGTACCTTAAATCATCTCTAGATTAGTTAGAAGTAATCTTAGCATCAGATATAAGTGAAAAAGAAAATATGTCGAGAAACCTCTTCAGCACCTCTCTTTCAAGGAGCCATCTCTTCCCTCATTTCATAACGGATGTGACCCAGCTGTCTCTGTGGGTGTCTGACTCAGCAGGTTTGAAACCCATAGATACCAAGGATCAAATGTATACAGAAAAAATACCTAAGGGTCTCAGTTGACCATAACTTTAAAATGACAAGTGCCATTTTAGGCTGCATTAACAGCCTGACAGGTAATAGAACTTATTGTATTCTGGGTTGATGTGAGCACATCTGAAGACAGTCACTGAGTCAGAGCATGATGGATTAGGAAAACATATGCAGAATTATGGAAGGAAATGGTGGCATTGAAATGTAAAGGCCCAAAACTTTGAGGGAAAAGGCTGAGCTGAACACTTCCTCACCAATCCTCATGCTTCCATGTGGAGAGGCCTCTCCATTGGAAAATCTGAAAAAATTGGCATGTGTGATTCAAAAATAAAGCTGCCTGATTCGAGTGGCAATCTGAACGTGAAAGGTGGGGAAAGAAGGTCTATTTATTATCTCGTAACTCTCCAGCAAGAAGTAACTGCTATCTTTAGATACTTGAAAGTCTGAAAAGTGACTGGAATGACCCTATCTAATTCTAGAAGGGCTAACTAGGACAAATGTGTATGACTTACGGGGAGGTTCTGAGTCACTAGCAGGAGGAACTTCTCCATGAATTGGAGCTCTTTTTTTTTTTTTTTCTCATTTGCTAGAGGGCACTTGCATTGACCAGAGAGAGAGAAAGCACACCTCATAAGAGATGGTCACCCACAATCACTTCTCCATTTCTCCTTTTGAAATTTTGGCCATGTATGCACACACACCAGCATGTTTTTCAAGCTGCCAGGTTCGGAATTGAACTGTGCAGTTGGTTATGTGGGATCCAGCCGCCTTAACCACCATGCCACTGGCTGACCTGAATTGAAGTTCTTTTAAAACACAATGGACTGCCTTACTAAGATAGAGGACACTTTATCAATGGAAGCGCTCGAGCTCAAGGAGGCGAAGTGTATGTCAAAGCTAAGATGGGGATTCCTCTCTAGGTGGGGCTGTATGAGAGGGCCTTGAAAGTACTTCCTAATGCTAAGATTTTACTGTTCTGTAATATGAAAACACAATGGGGCATGTAAGGAGTGAGAGCTGTTCACTGACGGCAAATCTACGGCCTACCAACTTTCTCCAAATGGAATATTTTCCAGAGAGCTCTTAAGTGCTACTGAACTCTCACCAGAGGGCATCAAATAATGGTTTTTTACATGAAATCAATCCCTTTGACTAATGGTATAGTTCTTTTTGACTACTAATTTCCAGAATGGCCCCCATAACAAAATCTAAGGATGAGAAATATTCGAATAAAAGAACAAATTAGTTTGTTCACTCAATGGGATGCAAATGAGCAATTAGAATGTATGAACAGGTCTCATAAACATAATGCTAAGTGATTAAAAAAACTTGTAAAAGGATACATACTGAACATCTCCATTTACACAGAGGGAAGCAACTACAGAGGCCAGGCAGTGGCACAGTGACACGCAACTGGATCCACATGGGAACAGTCCTGGGTTCACATTGTGGGACCTCCCTAAACATTCCAGGCATGTACATATGCCCATGATCCAGATGAGACTGGGCCGAGATTGGAGATGGATCACCCAGACCAGATGAGACTGGGGATGAATCATGGTGAGAAGACCCTCTTGAGGGTACCTATCTATCTGTCTGCTGTCTCTCTCTCTCTCAGAAGAATGAGATAAATAAACTTTTAAGAATCAATTACAGAACATATTATATACTATTCATCAGTCTATTAACACAGGCAGCAAAAGAATAAAATATGCATGGGAACACTTTATCCAACTCCAGGGCTGTGATTACTTCTGGAGAGGAGGAAAAGAGAAAGAGATGATAGGCTAGAGCTTTAATAATCACATAAGTAATGCTTTATTACCTTTATTAAAATCCTGGAGCACAGGGAAACAGCAGTTAGCGTAATGGCTATGTCGCTGGACTCCCACGTAGTCGACGGCGGTTCGCATCCCGGACCCGGTGGCTTAAAACTCACGCCGGGCACGTGTGCGTGTGTGCCTAAGATCCCGAGAGGAGAATGGAGGAGAAGGGATTGCGGCGTGACCATCCCCCCTGGGGGGTGATTTCTCGCTTTCTGTTCTATGTCTCTCTCTGTCTATCCGGCGAGCGCACGCGCCCTATAGTGAAAAACCTCTCCAAAAAAAAAAAAAAATCCTGGAGCACAAAAGGTAAAATGTTCATACTGTAATGGGTAGGCAGGTGTTTTTTATTATATTTCTGTACATTTCAACTAGTGGTACGCTTTTAAAGTTGCTAGAAGGTGCATGCACACACCACAGAGAGAGAGAAAGAGAAAGAGAGAGAGAGAAAGAGAAAGAGAGAGAAAGCACCCCCCCATGGGGTGTGGTCATGCCATAATCCCTTCTCCTTCATTTCTCCATCTTGTCAGGACCTTGGGCATGCTTTTCAAGCCCCTGGGGCCAGGATTCAAACTGCGATTGACCACATGGGATCCAGTTCCATTGACCACCAGGTCATAGGGCCAGCCCTAAACTAGTGATATATTTACAGAAATTCCACTAGAGAAAAACAGCCTAGTCCTGCCACCAGTGCAGGTCTCTCCTCATACATGGTCACCCAGCCTTTGTTCTGACTCATTTAGTTCTCCAAGTTCACTTTGTCCTTATATTAAAGTGAAATATGCTTTCCTGTCAGTTTCTACTCCTTAGACCTGACTCTGCCCCCGTGGGACAACAATGACTCTACTGTTTTGTCTCTGTTGAAAGAACTCACGTGACTGCCCTTCTACAAAGCAATACAACTTCGAGTCTGATGGGAAATTAGTGAAGTACGCCCCATGTGGACAGTATGTCAAACTCATGCTGAATATTTTTTATTGAACAAGACATCTTGATTTTAATATAATTCAGTAAGAGATAAAACAATACACAGAAAAATAGTTTTCATCAATTTTTAAGGAATCAATCTATTCCAGATATTAAGGAACTATAAGAGTCACCTTTTCTCATCACATTAGAAAATTTCTTAATTAGAAAGACACTATCTCTTCTATAAACACATTCATTTCAGAATTGGCTACAAATTTTTTTACTATAAGGTAAGAGGAATTGGGTTTGGGTTTTTTGCCTGGTGGGTTAGCTCAGTGATGTTCAAATCACAAAGTGTGGCCAATGACGAGCTCATAAAATCAGTGATGGCAGCACTTTTCCAAAAAATGTAATTGAAGAGAAAATATTGGGAAAAATCTCTCATAAAATGAACAAGAAAGTTTGGTGAAACTTTTTCTTTTTTTTTTGTCAAAACCAAACACATCTGAGACATACACATGAAAACAGGTCACAATGTAAAATGTATTTCTTACTATGAGTTACAGTAAAAAAAAAATTTAAGAGGTTTTTGCTATAGGGCACGTGGGCTCGCCAGACAGAGAAAGACAGAGAGACAGAAAGTGAGAAATCACCCCCAAGGGGGGATGGCCACACTGCAATCCCTTCTCCTCCATTCTCCCTTTGGGATCCTGGGCACGCACGCACATGCACCCAGCGTGAGTTCAAGCCACCGGGTCCGGGACGCGAACTGCGGTCGACCACATGGGAGTCCAGTGACATAGCCATTACGCTAACTGCTGGTCCCCCCCCCAAAAAAAAGTTTTGAAACTAAGTTATATGACAGCCAATGCTTATAAAATGAGCTGTAAGCTAGGCTTCTTTAGTTTAGTATGAAGTATCAGTGCTGTTCAAATTTACTGGATATGAAAATGTGTGATCTGAAGGCAGGAACCAACTGCGATCAGGCTGGGGCTGAGAACGACATTTCTGCTGTGTACCTGAGACACAAGTAAGAAATATCCTGCTTGGTCCAGATTTGAGATTTCACAGAATTGTTTGTAGAAGCTTTATTGTTTTGTTTGCATATGTCACAGAGACTACACTAAACTGATGTGGACAAGAAAATAAATAGGAAAATAAACTGCTGCACGACTGCTCACACTTCTGCAAACTGTCAGAGCCCTTCCACTTCAACCTTCATCCTAAGTCAATGAAGGTGTTTTGAGTTTCCCAGTCCCTGGCGGTCCACAGCAGCCAGTCATGGTCAATCACACCTTTCCTGTCCTAATAAAGCTATCTGAGGCAAAGCAATGAGCCCTAAGAACCCAAATGCAAAGAGAAATACAATTCATGACCCTGCTCCTTGTTACACCCTAATGAGGGGCTTAGTGGAGCTCTCTCCTCGGAACACACAAAAACCAGATTCTTCTTTCGACTGGCTTTTTTTTGTTCTGACACACTTTACACATAACAAACCTCGGAGAGCTTGAATCTTATTGGTGTTAAGGGCACGTATGCCACGTCTTGGGTTTCCATAGACGTTACTTCTGATCAGGACATCCTCAGTGAACAGGCTGCGAACCAGGTATCTGGCTGACAGCTCTGGGCGAGACTTGGTTCTCGCGATTTGCAGGACAGAAGATGGTATCTGTACATTTCTGCATGGATTTCCTAAATAGTCTAGGAGCAAAAGAAAAAGATGTCAATTTTCATGGTAGATGTTAGGCTTCATTTTTTAAAAAGGCTATAAAAGGGGCCAGCAGGGGCCTGGAGGTTAAGGTGCTAGATACCACATGGCTAACTGCATGGTTCAAGTACCAGACCCAGCAGTTCGAAGGTCACACTGGACACGTGTGCATAGGTGCCCAAAATCCTGAAAGGAGACCCGAGAAGAAGTGACTGCAGCATGGCCATCCCCACTAGGGGGTAATTTCTTTTTATCCTCTCTCTCTGTCTCTGTGTGGTGAGCACACGCACCCTATAGCAAAAACCTAAAAAAGAAACTAAAATACTTTTTTTAAAAAAGTTGTAACAGGGGGCTAACAGTTGGCATAATGGCTATGTCACTGGAGTCCCATGTAGTTGACTGCAGTTCAAGTCCCAGACCCGGTGGCTTAAACTCATGCCAGGCATGTGTGCGTGCGTTCCCAAGATCCCGAGAGGAAAATGGAGGAGAAGGGATTGTGGCATGGCCATCCCAACCCTGGGGGGTGATTTCGTGTTTTCTGTCTCTCTTTGTCTTTCTGGCGAGCGCATGCACCCTACAGCAAAATCTCTCCATTAAAAAAAAAAGACAATAATAAAAAAAAAAATAAAATTGTAACAGAAAGGAAGGATTTTCTGAATTTTTAGACTTAAAATTCTGAGAAGTTAGAGGAATTAAAGCCTGAAGTGTTTAGTGGATTATGAGACAGCATGAGAAATGAGGCACAAATCGCTGCTAATATGATTACCATGCTCCTACTGTTCAAGAGGAAGATTTAGTACTCTTCTACCTTTTAGGATATAGTAAGTTTTAAAATTACTCTTAGTAACAAATTCTAAGTAATTTCCATGTTTTGTTTCTTTACTTATAAGAAAGGCTTTTACAAAAATAAGCATCATGAATTTTACAGAAGTATCTATAATTTTGTAATTTTATTTTATACATTTCAATCACTACATACCATTACAGCTTGTAAAAAGAATTTTCCCAGCATGAATACACTGTGTATTAGTCCAGTTAAAGATATTATCATACACGTGATCATCAACAGATAATTTTCCTTTTTTGTGTCCCTTAAAAATGTCTTGCTTTTTTCTTTTTCCCTTTAATATTTATAATTTTTAAATGGAAGTTTTCTATTTAGTATTAAATTCATTTTAAAATCAACAAACTGCCAGCTCATCTGAGAATACTGTATTTCAGATATCTTATTTGAACTGAAGATGACATGTAAGTTTGTCTTCATTTCTCAACCCTACAGCTTACTCATCATCTCCAGTCCACAGTGATTCAAATCACACTATTTTATTTAAAGAATTGGAAAATATTTGAGAGAAAAAGGTTACCACCAAGATACCTTCAAAAACTATTGTGGACATTTAAAGAATAACATATTTTATATCTAATAAAGAATTCTTTGTTGGAGAAAATATATTAGAAAAATATAATACGGTTCCTATAGGTGACTAAGTTTATTTTTATATTATGACACCCATCATTTAATAGTATCAATATAAATAGCTGAATTACTCAGATTCAACATTTAGAAAGAGAGTAAATTATTTAGAAAGTCACTAAATGGTCCAAAGACTTAACTGTGGGAGGTCAACCTAGCAATATATTATCAAGAGTCAAAAAAATATATATTAACATTCTTTAACCTGATAATTTAATTTCTGAGAATCTAACTTAAGAAAACAACCCAAAATATGGAAAAAGCTACCAAATTAAGGGTTTAAAGTTTTCCTGCACCATGATTTATAATCCCCTTCTAAAAAACCCTCAAACCAAGGGGGAAGGAAAAGGGGAGGCAATTAAATGGGTTGTTGGAAAAATCATTTTTCTATGTTTTTCTATGCAAAAATGTGTCATGACTTTTCCAATGACCCTATAAATTGTGAGACACATAATGGAATGTTAATAAACCTATTAAGAGAAATTATTATGAATACTAGATTCTTGAGGAAAGACATACACATTTTATAACATTAGAGAAGGAGAACCATTATATAGAGATCATAAGGTTTCAAAATGTTCATACAAAAAAAAAAAAAAAACTGGAAGAAAATGAAAATGCTTACAATAGTTTCTTTAGGTATCTTGATCACAGGAGCTTTTTTTCTCCCTTTTATTTTCCAGTTTTTAAAATAAAACCATATAAGGGGGCAGCAGGTGGCATGGTGGTTAGGGGCGCTGGACTCCTACATGGCTGACCACAGTTCAAGTCCCAACCCTGGCGGCTTGCTTTCTCTCTCTCTCTCTCTGGTCAAATTAAGATGAAATAAATGAATAAATAAATAAAGTATAAATTTTAAAAATTCTTTTAAAAATAACATTTAAAAAAATCATATAAGAGAATACACACAACCTGTGGTGACTGCCTGGCTCACAATGTGCTGGGTTGTCCTACCTCCAGTCAGAGCAGAGTTGGAGATAGACCTGTGACTCAAGCTCTTCAGATGGGATGCTTTCTCTTGCCCATAGTCTTGGGGTCTCTCCAGCTCCTGTCAGCCTATTCTTTGTTTCTTTAAATACAGGAGTTATTCATCTGGTGATTTTTATTGTTGTTTAATTTAATCCACCTTTCTATAAGGGATATTCTAAAAGTTCATGGAAGATGCACATCGTGAAAAGCTTATGCATACATTTTAAATTTTCTTGCACTCAATACACTAGTTCTTTAATTTCATTTTTTTCACAAACATTTGGAAGTCACCTTCTATAGCCTTAAATTAACAAGTACAGTAGTTGGATTACTTTTATAATGGGAAAAATACTATAAAGATGTATTATTTCAATAATTTAGTTTGAACAGGATACCAGGTAACATTCTACGTAGGACTGACATAGAGGCAGGGTTGAAACAGAATGAAATCTCACTGCCTCAGCTACCAAAATAGTGGCAACGTTATCCCCAGCACTCCAGGGAGGACACACTGGGAAGCACAAGTGGCAGGTGACACAGTCACCCACTCAACTGCTGCCACTTGGCACGTGCCTTCAGCAAGCAGCTAGCAGTGGGAGCACAATGTTCTGAGGAATGAGCTTCATTAATTCATGCCAAAAGTCCTTTTGAGCACCCACAATGCACCAGGCAGAGAACACGAACTTCTGGCTCATCTGAACCCCAGCTCTGCCCCCTCACCTGTGGAGGACGGCACCTCATCAGAGAGCTCCACTGGTCCCAAGTCAAAAAGGGTCACTTCTCTCCACAGGAGGAATAACAGATTTCATTTAATATTAAAAACCCCAGTCTCAGGCTAGTCCCATGGCCTAGTAGTTGGGGAAGTTGGATCCCTTATGGCCAACCACATGGCTCAAGTCCCAGCCCAGTGGCTTGAACATAAAAAACATACCAGGTACATGTGCATGAGTGCCCAAACTTCCAAAAGGAAAGGGAGATGGAGGGGAAGAGATTGTGACCTGATCATGCCCCATTGGGGTGCTCGCCCCCTCTGTCTAGTAAGCACACGTGCCCTCTGGCAAATTAAAAAAAAAAGAAAGGAAGGAAGGAAAGAAAAAAAGAAAGAAGGGAGGGAGGAAGGAAGGAAGAAAAACTGTGTCAGGACCCTGCTATAGCAGCATGAGTTGCATCGGGACTGAGGTCCCATGGGAAGCCTGGGCTCAATTCCCAGACCAATCTAAATAGTACAGGTATGTGTATGGTGGTGCCCACCGGTGACCCTAATAACCGAGAGACCAAAATTCTTTCTCTCTCTTCATTTTTTCAAAAAGAATTACTTTTTATTTAACTTTATTTTAATTTGATCATAGAGGGACGGAGTGAGAGAGTGAGAGAAAGTGAGAAAGCAAGCCCCCAGGTCCAGGACTCCAACTGCAGTCAGCTATGTGGGAGTCCAGCACCCCTAACCACCTGCAGGCCCCCCATATATCTTTCTTAAGGAAAAAAAATCAGTCTCAGAACTAGGCATCTGTATTTTGTTAAGTCATTAATATAAAAGGTTAAATTGTTTTAATTTCCTATGAATTTTTTCAAACATACAAAAACTAGAGTGGATAGTACAAAGAGTCCCATGAATTCATTCGTGGATTCAATAGCTATCAGCAAAAGAACTTATTTTGAGAACTCACCAACTTTTGCTGCATCCTGAGGTGCTGCTGGTTCATCATTGGCAGGAGGAGGAGCTTCTATTGCTCCTTCAGGGTCATCATTATCATTCTGCTGAGAATTCTCATCTTCTCTTGCTTCTGAGGCATCCATTTGCTGAGCTGACTGAGAAGTGCCTTCCCCAGCATCATCATCGCTCTCGTCATTAGAAGCTGCTGACGCGGATGCACTAGAGTTGTCATGAGTTTTCTGCTGCAAAACAGAACCATGTCTATAAAGCCCCATATTGAGGAAACACACACATGCTGGGACCAGCAGTTAGCTTAATGGCTATGTCACTGAACTCCCATGTAGTCGAACTCAGTTCAAGTCCTGGACCCGGTAGCTTAAGACTCACAATGGGTGCGTGTGCATGCGTGCCCAAGATCCCAAGAGGAGAATGGAGAAGGGACTGCAGCATGGCCATCCCCCTCGATGGGGTGATTTCTCGCTTTCTGTCTCTCTGTCTCTCTCTGTCTTTCTGGTGAGTGCCGCCCTAGGCAAAAAAACCCTCAAAAAAAAAAAAAAAAAACTTCTCTTGTGATCCTAATGTGCACCCAGGACTGGCAACCATTGATTTAGGTCAGGGCTTCTCAAACCTCTGTGTGCATACAAATCTTTAAGGGGGTCTTGCTAAAATGCAAATTCTGCCTCAGCAAGTCTACTATGGAACCCAAGACTCTGCATTTCCTGCAATCTTTTTGGGGCTGCGGCTGCTGGGCCGTGAACCCACTTTGAGTGGCAAGGACCTAGGACCTATCGTCTCAGTCAAGTACACAGCAGGCTCTTGGCAGGTGCTGCTTCTCTTCTGGCACCTAAGCAAATATGCAAATTACCATTTTCCAGGCAGCATCTTAATTTTACATTCAAATTGTTTAGGGTACAATTTTCAAAGTCTCTAAAATGGAATGTTAAAAATAAGCAGATTTGGTTGCAGACAGATGGTGCTTGATCTATCACTAAAATCAAGTCGTTCACCAGGAAAACATAAGCTCAGCTACAAATATTCTTGGCAAGTAGTTTCCATAAACTTACTCTAGAGACACAAGAGTGACTAGAGATGTTGAGAACAAAATGGGGTTTTTAGAAAGGTTGGTGGGAATTAGTAATTGTCATTAAATTAAATGCCTCATCAGGAGAAGACAATAGCTATGACACTCTTCTCTAACGGCCCATTTATGGTTAAAAATCTCTAATGCACATTGAAGGAAGGATGCATGAGAGAGAAATCAGATTCCTGTTACCACATAACCCTACAGAGTATAAATATCTGATAGTTTAAGCTCATGGCATGCATTTTTTTCTTACCAGGTTCCGCCATCACTACAAATGAACAATTAAGTGCCCACATCTGCTCCTCTGTCCTCAGCTACCCCTCAAGGACCAAGGACCACACACAGCTGGCTCAGTAGTGTTACTCAGTGAGCTGCTCAGAAAGATTTGCTAAGTGTCTTTATAGTAGAAACTTTTTTCTAATCTAGACCTTGGCTTCAGACTGGCCCTGTGGCCTAGGGGTTGGGGTTCCAGATCCCACACAGCTGATGGCACAGTTCAAGCCCTGGCAGCCTGAAAATCATACCAGTATGTGTATGTGTGCCCCAAATCCCAACAGGATGGAGAGATGGAGGAGAAGAGATGGCAGAGCGACCATGCCCCATTGGGGACCTTTCTCCCTTTACCTCACTCTCTCTTGCTGGGGAGCACATGTGTCCTCTGGCTATTAAAAGAAAGCAAAGAAAGAAGGGAGATTTTAAAGTAAGAATAAATTAAAGTAAAATTATAATATAGACTTTGGTTTCAAGTGTAATTCTCACACTATATTTAGTTTATCTTAAGAAAATTATTTTTTAAAGAATTACTTATTTAATTCCATTTATTATTATTTTTTTAATTTGACCAGAGAGACAGAAAAAGGGAAAAGAAGAAAGCAAGCTGCCAGGTCCGGGACTCAAATTGTTGTTGGCAATGTGGGAATCCGGAGCCTTTAACCATCATGCCACCTGCTGGTCTCTTTCAGGAATTATTTTTTTCCTATAAAAGTCTGTTCATATTACCATGTTTTAAATTTTTTTTATTTTTTGCTTGTTTTATTAATTATTACATTCATTCACTGAGCATTGTCACAGCATACAAACTGTGATTTCCCATCCAGACTATGCTGCATAGTGACTTAATCATACATGTTATAGTCAATAATTTTCCATTTCTAGTTTCATATATATTTTTTTTCCCATTTCTCATCCTCTGCCATTTCCCACCCTCCTCCCACACTATCTCAGGTGTCAACAGATGTTTTCCATTCCATTTTTTCCCCCACATTTTATTGATTCACAGAATTTCTTAAATAATCTACTTTCATTAACAAGCTCTGCTGATATATACATATCTATGAATACATGTCTGACTTTAGGCATGAAACTCTGAGTAGAATGAATATACTGTAAGGTA